ACTTCTCCAGGCAACGAATTAATTCATTTACTCTTTTAGTACCTGAGAACTCAACATACGTTTTTTAATCATACCCAAAGAAAACAAAATGAAGATAGTGTCTTTCGTCACAGACATCTGCCATATTCTTCAGCGGAGCATAGGTAGGGTAACCATATTAGGTTCAGCTGAAAAAAAGGACATCCCACGCACATTCTGAACTGAAAACAGGACACTACAAGTAAATCAGTTTAACTTTCATCCGTGCCCTCCCCTCTTTCCTCCCTAAATAACCTAAATGAAAGGGTTAATTTCTCAGTTGACAATGGAAGGGAGTGAACAGTGCAGAGACACTGGTCTAAAAAAAATGGTGTAACATGGAGTGACTAGGGAATCTGGCCGACACTCCACACAAAGACGAAAGACAGGACACACTTACAGTCAGATTGTTATTGGTATTATAGGAGTTGGAACTCTTCGCTGGCTGCTTAAGACTGGGACGGAACGCTTATGGGAAGTCCCGAGTGCTAGGTTGCCGGTTCTTAAACTCAGCTGAACTCTACAATGGCATTAAAAACCGAACCATTATCGCAAGAAATGAACAAAACAATGTGCCTTTTAACTGCACTGAAAAGATGCTGCCATGTATCGGCGACCGTCCACAGGCTCGCAGGTAGACGACCTCGTCGCCGGTCGGGACACTATTTGGGTCTGTCTCCGTTTCATGGCTCCCGGTGACATGCAATGCTTAACCATTTTATTCCGCACACATAACCTTGTCACAATTATAACCTAAAGCTCCCCCTTCCGGGAGGCTGGTTGAACGTGACAATTCAGCTTACACTGTCCTGTTTTCAGCTCAAAACAGTGGAATGTCCTATTTTCAGCTCAAAATAGTGGAATGTCCTGTTTTAAGTCAAAATAGTGGCATGTCCTGTTTTCAGCTCAAAACATTAGTGGAATGTCCTGTTTTCAGTCAAAACATTAGTGGAATGTCCTGTTTTCAGCTCAAAATATTAGTGGCATGTTCTGTTTTCAGCTCAAAATATTAGTGGAATGTTGCGTTTTCAGCTTAAAATATTAGTGGAATGTTATGTTTTCAGCTCAAAATATTAGTGGAATGTCCTATTTTCAGCTCAAAATATTAGTGGAATGTCCTGTTTTCAGCTCAAAATATTAGTGGAATGTCCTGTTTTCAGCTCAAAATATTAGTAGAATGTTGTGTTTTCAGCTCAAAATATTAGTGGAATGTCGTGTTTTCAGCTCAAAATATTAGTGGAATGTCCTGTTTTCAGCTCAAAATATTAGTGGAATGTTGTGTTTTCAGCTCAAAATATTAGTGGAATGTTGTGTTTTCAGCTCAAAATATTAGTGGAATGTTGGGTTTTCAACTCAAAATATTAGTGGAATGTTGTGTTTTCAGCTCAAAATATTAGTGGAATGTTATGTTTTCAGCTCAAAATATTAGTGGAATGTCCTATTTTCAGCTCAAAATATTAGTGGAATGTTATGTTTTCAGCTCAAAATATTAGTGGAATGTCCTATTTTCAGCTAAAAATATTAGTGGAATGTCCTGTTTTCAGCTCAAAATATTAGTGGAATGTCCTGTTTTCAGCTCAAAATATTAGTAGAATGTTGTGTTTTCAGCTCAAAATATTAGTGGAATGTCGTGTTTTCAGCTCAAAATATTAGTGGAATGTCCTGTTTTCAGCTCAAAATATTAGTGGAATGTTGTGTTTTCAGCTCAAAATATTAGTGGAATGTTGTGTTTTCAGCTCAAAATATTAGTGGAATGTTGGGTTTTCAACTCAAAATATTAGTGGAATGTTGTGTTTTCAGCTCAAAATATTAGTGGAATGTTGGGTTTTCAGCTCAAAATATTAGTGGAATGTCCTATTTTCAGCTCAAAATATTAGTGGAATGTCCTGTTTTCAGCTCAAAATATTAGTAGAATGTTGTGTTTTCAGCTCAAAATATTAGTGGAATGTCCTGCTTTCAGCTCAAAATATTAGTGGAATGTCCTGTTTTCAGCTCAAAATATTAGTAGAATGTTGTGTTTTCAGCTCAAAATATTAGTGGAATGTCCTGTTTTCAGCTCAAAATATTAGTGGAATGTTGTGTTTTCAGCTCAAAATATTAGTGGAATGTCCTGTTTTCAGACATTATGCTCTCCCTAACCTGGTCTCACACATGGTGTGATGAAGTTGATTCTTGAACCAATTACTGTGACTGACCCTGACCTGGTTCGTGGGAGGTTATTCCCTTCTCCAAGCTCAAAAATCAATGGGTATTTAAGTACCTCATACTGGATGAGGTGTAAGCATGCCAACACATGACATGACAGACAAACTGGCAGCTTCCGGTTCTCTTCCTCTTGTACCACTTTTGGTGTTGAGGGAAATATGAGGACAGAAGAGCAAGAAGCAACAAAGTTGACCCTTCAACCGTTTACTTTGACGGACCACACATTAGAGAACATGACACATAACAAGAGACTGCATACAACAAGACACCACACAAACAGCAGGGCTAAAGACTTTTATTGGTCACTGAATTAAGTAGCACAATTTGTTTCATACTGTGAATTTTCAAAACAGTAAAGGTTAACTACATTTTAAACATTATAGTTCCTTCAATCATGTGATTAAAAACATTCAATTTATACTACATTTAAAACATTATAGCTTGCTTCAATCATGTGATAAAATTTAAACTACAACTTAAAAAGCACTAATTAATGTCAATAATGACTGAACAAGAAGTACACAGGTAATGAGATACCTCCATGATAGCAGCAAGCAGACAATAAGACTGTATTGGAAGTAGGAAACCATCTTTACTAATCATAAATATACACAGCTGGACTTATGGTAGATGTATATACAATATTCGATATACGACTCTAAATAATTGCCTCTGAATTAAAAAAAAAGCTGATGAAATAGTTAACTTGCTATAAAACAACAACAAAAACTGTCTGGTAAAACATTTCAGAGAAATGTACAAAACTGTGTACAGTAAATTTATATGTACAATGTTCAACAACAACATTCAGAGGTCTAAATGAAAGAAATCAACACAGTAAAGTGTTATGAACAAGTGTAAAATGTCAATGTGAGAAATTCACAGCTGTAGAAACGAAAGAATAAAAACTCACGGCACAAGAAACAGAGGAAGGCAAGCAATGGCTCAGGAGAGGTGTGAAATGTAAGGGGAAAAAAAAAGCAGAAATGAAACCATAACATCTCTGTGTATCTTATCCAAGTGGCCGTCTCAAGAGCAACATTATCATTAACAGCCATAGCACAAGAAACAGAGGTACACAAGCTATGGGCCAAGAGAGGTGTGATACTCCAAATGAAAAAGTTGAAATGGAACCACAACAGTTCTGCCTATCATATCAAAGTGGAAGCCAACATGATCACAACAGAAAACGTAGCACCTGATTCAAAAAATTCAAATCTTAGTATAAACATTACCAAGAAATAGAAGTGAAACACCCCCCCCCCCCCCCCCCCCAACAAAAATAACATGAGAACCAAATAAAGAAATCTAATTTTAAACACTATATAAAAAAAAAAAGAACTTCAGACACTTGATCCCAGAATTCCCTGTGTGGGTTTCCATTGCCCTATTTTGGGGGAGGACAAACACACCAACTGCATCTCCCTCCCCCCAACAAAGACGACATAAAAGTCTACTAATTAGGGACTGTTTCTTTCCAAGTCAGGGTACATCTGCCTGCGAGGCAATGAACCAGCAGTCTGCTTACAAATAAGTCTGATCTGTAAAACAGATGTGAATGCAAAATTCAAGTTCAGCAACAAGACTTAAGTCCAGAAGTAAACGAACAACTAGAACTTTTCTCCAGAGTTTACAGCCAGTGAATACCCAGAAGAAGAAGAAACACTATAAAGTAGGACATCCGGTTACTTCATCCCAAAAAGCTCTAAATTAAGTGTTAGCAAGAATAAAAGACTGGGCACATGACACCTTAAACAAACAGCTTTATTTAATGTTACTTCTTCTTCTTTGTTCATCGGCTGAAGCACCAGCAGAAAGTCCAGGTTGTTTGTCCATTTGGCTTTGAGCGTACATCTGTTTTAATGGTTTATTTATGTGCAGCTGGATGTTCTGACCACTTTGGCTGATGCACCAGGACTTGGAAGTAAGCTCCCATTAAGTCAACTCTTACGACTTCTTGTTGGGGAAGCAGGGGGTCTGCTCTGGTTTTTCCCATCATGAGGCTCCGTAGTCCACATGGGGAATAGAGTTACAAATAATAACATTCTTGTAGACAGTTTCTCAAGTGAAGATGACTCAGCTTTTCACTTCAATAGACAGAACTACAAATGTTTATGACAGGGGTGGGCAAACTATGGCCCCTGGGCTAAAACTGGCCAGCAGAGCAATTTTTACTGGCCTGCGAGGCTGGTGTATTATTATAGCGCACAAAATGGCAGAACACAAAAACACACATGCGTACGAACAAATGGAAAAAAAAAGAATAATATCCCCCCAAAAAATGTGAACCTAAACAGGGAAAACCAGCAACTGATGTCAAAGCTTTGATCCTGCTACTAAAGCACGTCATGCAGACAAAATCAGACATTAGGAGACAGTGTCTGTCGGCCAACTCTGATAACAAAATTGAAGATGACAGCTGTTCTTTTCTCTGAACACATTTAGGAATATACATCTATCTTTCTATCTTCTTTTACCCCACCAGGACATCACACAAGTGATAAACACCCGATGACACCAAGTGCCACCATGCAGATGAGGATCACCTGTGGAGAGATCCCAGAAATCACATTTAGCAATTAGACCATATTTATGGCCGGGCTATATGCGGCCCCTGGCAAGAGCCAGAGTAGGGCTTCAAATAAAAAAAAATTGCATGAGGTGAATCTGACAACACAGTCTTCACATCTTAGCTTGCATGAAGTGAATCTGACAACACAATCTTCATATTTTAGCTTGCATGAAGTGAATCTGACAACACAATCTTCACATCTTAGCTGCATGAGGTGAATCTGACAACACAATCTTCACATCTTAACTTGCATGAAGTGAATCTGACAAAACAATCTTCACATCTTAGCTTGTATGAAGTGAATCTGACAAAACAATCTTCACATCTTAGCTTGCATGAAGTGAATCTGACAACACAATCTTCCCGTCTTAGCTTGCATGAAGTGAATCTGACAACACAATCTTCACATCTTAGTTTGCATGAAGTGAATCTGACAACACAATCTTCACATCTTAGCTTGTATGAAGGGAATCTGACAACACCATCTTCGCATCTTAGCTTGCATGAAGTGAGTCTGACAACACAATCTTCACATCTGAGCTTGCATAAAGTGTATCATGGTTTCATAGATGAGGAAAAGGTGCGCAGCCGGGTGTCAAACAGAAGTTTCATCAATAACTAACAGTGGCTCTGGGTGTGTTGGGTGACTACACACACAAAATATAGATTCCATGTATAGTTGATGATGTGCAGATCCCATAATGTGTGGTCGATGATGTGCAGATCCCACAATGTGTGGTCCATGATGAGCAGATCCACCAATGTGTGGTCTGTAATGTGCAGATCACACAACATGTGGTCCATGATGTGCAGATCCCACAATGTGTGGTCCATGATGTGCAGATCCCACAATGTGTGGTCTGTGATGTGCAGATCCCACAATGTGTGGTCCATGATGTGCAGATCCCACAACGTGTGGTCCATGATGTGCCGATCCCACAATGTGTGGTCCATGAAGGGCAGATCCCACAATGTGTGGTCCATGATGGGCAGATCCCATGTGTGGTTCATGATGTGCAGATCCAATAATGTGTGGTCCATGATGTGTAGATCCCACTATGTGTGGTCCATGATGTGCAGATCCTATTTGTGGTCCATGATGTGCAGATCCTATTTGTGGTCCATGATGTGCAGATCCTATTTGTGGTCCATGATGTGCAGATCCCATGTGCAGTCCATGATGTGCAGATCCCATGTGTGGTCCATGATGTGCAGATCCCATGTGTGGTCTGTGATGTGCAGATCCCATGTGTGGTCCATGATGTGCAGATCCCATGTGTGGTCCATGATGTGCAGATCCCATGTGTGGTCTGTGATGTGCAGATCCCATGTGTGGTCCATGATGTGCAGATCCCATGTGTGGTCCATGATGTGCAGATCCCATAATGTGTGGTCCATGATGTGCAGATCCCATAATGTGTGGTCCATGATGTGCAGATCCCATAATGTGTGGTCCATGATGTGCTGATCCCACAATGTGTGGTCCATGATGTGCAGATCCCATGTGTGGTCCATGATGTGCAGATCCCATAATGTGTGGTCCATGATGTGTGGTCATAGCTGCCTAGGAAGGGTCACAAATCTGGATTTTTACAGTACACTCACAGATGGTGGGCATGGCTAACTTTTGTGTGATACATGAGGGAGTTAAAAATGTTGACAAACAACGGAAGAGCGGTCAGAGAGGTGAGCTAACAACATGAGATGTGTCAGAGATGACGAACAACAGGAGGGAGTTGGAGATTCGACCAAGAACATCAGAGTGGTCAGTGATGGTGACCACCATGAGAGGCATCAGAGATGGTCAATAACATGAGGGAATCAGAGATAGTCAATTACATGGAGCCTGAGATGGTCAATAAAACCAGGGAGTCAGAGATGGTCTACATATGGTGTCAGAGATGGTCAATAACATGAGGGAGTCAGAGATGATCAATATAAGGAGCCAGAGAAGGTCAATAACTTGTAGATGGTCAATGACGTAGTGTAATAGATTATCAACAACATTAGAAGGATCAGAGGTGGTCATTAATATGAATGAGCCAGAGAGGGTCAATAACTCAAAGGAGTCAAAGATTACAAATGCTTACAGGGGCTAGAGATGGTCAACAAGATGTAGTTGGAGCTGGTAAAAAACATGAAGGAGGCAAATTACCAACAACATTGGAGGGACCAGAGATAGTCATTGATACTGGGTGAGCGACAGTCAATAACATGGAGTCAGAGATGGTCAATAATATGAAGTCAGAGATGGTCAATAACATAAAAAAGTCAGAGATAGTCAATAATGTGAAGAAGTCATAGATTACTAACAACGATATAGCAGTCAGAGAAGGTCAATAATATGAAGTCAGAGATGGTCAATAACACAAGGGTCCTGCAAATTATGAACAGTCAAATAAAACAAATATAATCTACATTATTGGGCAGTCAGAAGTCATCTAGAGCATATGGGAGTTGACTGATGATCAATGAAATCTGTGGCCTGACACCACACATGTATGTCTGCAGTGTGAGTGACATATTCCCACAAGTACTGTGTGATGGCTGGATAGATGGGCCGGTACTGCCACTTGGAGATGGGTGGGTAGATGGGCCGGTACTGCCAGTTGGAGATGGGTGGGTAGATGGGCCGGTACTGCCACTTGGAGATGGGTGGGTAGATGGGCCGGTACTGCCACTTGGAGATGGGTGGGTAGATGGGCCGGTACTGCCACTTGGAGATGGGTGGGTAGATGGGCCGGTACTGCCACTTGGAGATGGGTGGGTAGATGGGCCGGTACTGCCACTTGGAGATGGTGGGTAGATGGGCCGGTACTGCCACTTGGAGATGGGTGGGTAGATGGGCCGGTACTGCCAGTTGGAGATGGGTGGTAGATGGGCCGGTACTGCCACTTGGAGATGGGTGGGTAGATGGGCCGGTACTGCCACTTGGAGATGGGTGGGTAGATGGGCCGGTACTGCCACTTGGAGATGGGTGGGTAGATGGGCCGGTACTGCCAGTTGGAGATGGATGGGTAGATGGGCCGGTACTGCCACTTGGAGATGGCTGGGTAAATGAGAGGATGGATGAATGGATGGGTGAGTACTCCAAGATGAAGATGGACTGACGCAGCTATCAAAGACATATACCATCAGCGGTAGAACGGAAGTATGCTGTTGATGATGACATTGATGGAAGACATGTTTTTGGCACAATATTGCTATTGGTCCTCTGTAAACAACTTGCCTAATTGGACTGTCTCTGGGTCTCCTGACTTATCACTGAGACATTTCTAGGAAGCACTTCTATTGGAGGGAACCGCAGTAGTGCAGCCGCTGGATGCTTTCTGGCGGCCCAAAGATCCTGGGTATGAATCTATACTGATTAATTTTCTTCTTCTTCAAAATTGATCTGCTCCCAGGTGAACCCAGCCTGAAATAGGTAGCAGGTAATGTCATGGGAAGTAAAGGCGGTTGACCATATCACTCACTGAGTGCCATAAACATATGAGACTAACATCATGTACCTAAGACACCACTGGTGTGACAAGGGTCTTTCTTCTGCTTCTATGTTTTGTTTAGCTACCAAGTCGCCTCACAGGTGACACACAGATCGGGTGCTGGGCGGGGATTCTCATTATAAGGTCTATGAGAGTGATCTCCTTAGGGAGATAGCTGTGTGTAATGAAAGTGAGCGGTTACAAACCAAACCATCCAGAGACTTGCGCTGCCAGACACAACCCCCCAAAGGTACAGCCAAGGAGGAAAAACATGGCAGCTCAGTTTCAGTAAAGAGTTCAGCTATCATCCCAGAGCCCTGGACGTTGTCCATGCATCCATCTACAACAGCCTTAGAGACTGCAGAGTCTCCTCTACTCCTGGTATATCCTCCATCTGCAAGAACCTCCTCCTTCATGTGCAATGCCCAAAGGCAGCAGCTTATGTAAACACCTTTCTCTGTGGAGGCAGCACAATTCTCCTCCCCTGGTATATCCTCCTCCTTCATGTGCTATGCCCAAAGGCAGCAGCTTATGTAAACACCTTTCTCTGTGGAGGCAGCACAATTCCCCTCCCCTGGTATATCTAATGTGAACAATGTCCTGAGATACATCTGGACCAATGACCTGAATACAGAAGCTGCCAAACAGCTATTGCTATTGAAGTTCACCCTGAAATACTGCGAGGACATGAGTTGGACAGCTCATATCTTGCTAAGATAGAAATATATATAACATTCAGACAAGTACAGTCTCGTACACAAAATGATGATAGCAGGCAATGTGCTGTCTTTTACACACCTGCTGCAATTAAAGAGGTTCTGTCTTGTAAATATCTGCAAACATTAGAGAGGTGATGTTTTGTATATATCTGCTGTTACTAGAGAGGCTCTGTCTGGTAAATATCTGCAGATATTAGACAAGTATTGCTTTGTACATATCTGCTGATACTAGGCAGGTACTGTCTTGTAAACACCTGCTGATATTAGACAAGTACTGTCTTGTACACACCTGATGATATTAGACAGGTACTGTCTTGTACACACCTGATGATATTAGACAGGTAGTGTCATGTACACACCTGCTGATATTAGACAATGTACTTTCCTGTACATATCTGATATTAGAAAGGTACTGTCTTGTACACACCTGCTGATATTAGACAGTGTACTCTCCTATATACACCTGCTGATATTAGACAGGTACTGTATTATTTACACACTTGACATTAGAGAATATACTGTCATGTACACATCAAGTACATCTGACAATGAATATTCATGTCCCACCTGGAAACAAAATGGTCTGTTCTTATACACTTGGATACACTATACTTTCCTGTAAACACCTGACAATGAACATCTGTGTAAGCCTTACAATAAATATTCATGTAAACATCTGCCTACATCTTACAATGAACATTCCTGTACACACCTGGAAACTAAACAATACTCTTTCCTTTACACACCTGAAAATGAACATTCATGTGCACACCTGTAAAGTAAACATTACATTTTCCTGTACACACCTGGGCACATCAGACAATGTACTTTCTTGTACACATAGTACCACCAGCTTTTCTTTGTTTTCACAGATCCCTAATTGTTCTCGCTAGGTATCCTGGGAAGGATGCTCAAATATGAAACAGATCTGTCCAGGCTGGGGAACCAGCTGAGGCTACTGTTGTACTAGCTACAGGTCTGTTCAGGCTGGGTAACCAGCTGAGACTAATGTTGTACTAGCTACAGATCTGTTCAGGCTGGGTAACCAGCTGAGACTAATGTTGTACTAGCTATAGATCTGTTCAGACTGGGGAACCAGCTGAGACTAATGTTGTACTAGCTACAGATCTGTTCAGGCTGGGTAACCAGCTGAGACTAATGTTGTACTAGCTACAGATCTGTTCAGGCTGGGGAACCAGCTGAGACTAATGTTGTACTAGCTACAGATCTGTTCAAACTGGGGAACCAGCTGAGACTAATGTTGTACTAGCTACAGATCTGTTCAGGCTGGGAAACCAGCTAAGACTACTGTTTTACTAGCTACAGATCTGTTCAGGCTGGGCTGAGGCTACAGCTGTACTAGCTACAGATCCTAGAGCAGACACCCACAGGATACAGATGCTGGAGGCATGTGTTCCATG